TTTTCATCAGGAAGTGTCAGCATATTAAAATCAAAGCTTTACTCTGAAAAGATCCTACTTTCAGTGAAATCAGAGTTTTCTTAGGCACAAGATACAGCTCAGAGCAAAAGTGCAAGATTATCAGAGCACTTCCTTCACTTAGAGAAGACGCATGTTCCAGTCCCACTCAGGCAGACCTTTTCGGCATAGCTTGGTGCCCAAACCGCTGGCTTACAGGTTACTCTCATGGAGCTCCTACACTATTCATATATAACTGCATATTTGCTGGAATAGCAACATCTTCCATAAGGCAGGAGAATGCTATATACAATTAACCACTAACATCAGTGTCTCTAATCTGTGAGCTGCTGATCCACTCTGATCACTTGCCACGGGACTTCACTAAATCAAGACTCCAGCATTTCCAATTACAGTTAGTTTTCACGAGGGACAATTCACCAAGCTTCTGTAATCATTCACTAGGTTTACTGTCCTTTTATCATGACTACATGTTAGGTTACATTTCTATTTGGATCTTTAACTTCAGGCAATACCACCTATAACACAAGAGGCTCTCACTCACCCACTTAATGTGATCGAAATCATACTTGAAAAAAATCTGAGCCGGTAACCAGATATCTCGCTACATGGTATTTGTAATGTAAAAATAGTAATTCTTAATCTTAAAAAAGTGACAACCTGACCTTGTTATTTTAGTAAATTTTAAAAATTGCTCATTTGTAAGTGCTTCTTTTCTCGGTGACTAATCCACACAATCACGCATTGCTCTGATTCATTCTGCAACACCATTTTCCTACACAGTAAATTTGGTCTATCAATCAAGTTGATTCTATCTGATCCTATCAGTTAACTTTTGGGGAAAGAGATGGAGGGGGTAGAAGTACCTATCTTTAGCAACACCACCACGTGCTTCTTTGCATTGTTCTAGTGACAGGCTTCAGCTTGACCTCTGAGGAGACAGTGTTCAACCTCTAAACCAAATTAAAACCAGTGAAGTTTGAAGTTATATGCTGGTAGGAAGGTATGAAAATGCAAGATAAAATAATTTACTCCAAGAGTCGGGAGGACTGGGTCATACCAACATAATCAGCAAAAAGGTGGGCATAAGACATTGGAGGCACAGCAAAGTACGTGAAGGCACATAGCAAAGAGATGTGAATTTTTGCTATTTAAAAAGTGTTTTCCCAAAAAACACAACAGACTGCAGCCTAGAACAACACAGAAAGAGAAGAGCAGCATGTGAAGAGCTTAAGAAAGATAAGACCATTGATGCACATGCTAGTGAAGCAAAACAGAATGGTCACAAAAGGTAGTCGTATCACCAAAGGCACGCATGTCTTTTGGCTCAGTCAGTCCTTGCTAATGGTTATGTGGTGGTCCTACTACGAGTTTGCTCACCTCTGTCCCTCCTTCTAACTATATCATTCACCACTGCTACTTAAACATTAGGCAAAGAGACATAAGCTGGATGGGAATATAGCAGTTATTCCAATCTCTTCTAGTGAGATGCCCATCTGAGCATGACTCAGGCAAAGGTGCAAGAGAAAAACAGTCATTAGCACCTCTCCTCAATGGAAGGATAGGAGATACAGGAGATGTGAAGGATGAAAGAGCTAACAAAATCGAACTCTCTATCCAGACCTTTATTAACTCCCTCAGCAGCAAACAAGCCATCTTCTAGGCTTTAGCTGAAACTCACTTGTTTTGCTACGCTTCAACAATTCCAATCTAGCTCCTGTCCCTTGACACAACATGTAAAAATTTGCTCTCCGAACAGCAATTGCCGTAATAATAACAATACTTACATTTCATTATTTAACCTCATGCTATTTGTTCATGAGGATTAGTGCTTAATTAATTAACAACACTTAGCATTTCCACTTAGCACTTTACCTCTTCAAAGCATCATACAGACAGTACCTTACCGAGGGCAGAGCTCCACAGATGCTTCACATCAGGACTTCCCTTTGACAGCTCTGCATCCAAGACTTGCTCACATGGCAGCATGAATTTAAGTTGAAAGCCCTGTTGCCTTCATCAGGAAGCAGGTAATGCCCTGGCTATCAAGTGACAATCTTTGCAAATTCCTTTTCTTTTCCTATTGCTTCTGGTTGCTTACTATTCACCCAGGGATCTAATTATTGGCTAATGTGATAGCTGATAATGTGAACCTTCTATTAGTGTTATCTACAAAACCTTCATTCTTCCATTAGTGAAAACCTTATTCTCAGTCACTAGGTTTAACTGCCTTTGGATAGAAAATATGTTAACCACAAAAACAGATTATAAAATGTCAAGCCACAGTTTTAAGGGAGATGGTTCTTTCAATCCATCAGTCAAATGCCTGCTATGAAAACACCTTTCTTGTAAGCACCCCAGGGTGCTACACAACATCAGTAGGCAATATAAACACAGAGCTTTTATGGTTCGCTTTATAATTGGACATTGACTCTGAACCTGTGAAAGAGAAAGGAATTGAATTTCATGACCAAAGAGGATAATGTGCAAAGGATTAAGTAGACAACACTGGTAGAAGCAGGAAAGCAATAAGGCATTGAATGCTGATAGAAAGATTAAATTTGCAAATAAGAAACCAAAGGAATAAAACAATTTTCAGTAAACTCTCATAAACCAGCAGTAGCACTTGATGCTTCATATCAATCCACTATATTTTTTCAGAGAATCAAACATGCTGATGGGTTTATTCAAAGCCCACTGATTGACTGGGCACTGACTATGGGAACTAAACAGAGAGAGCCCTAAATATGCAATAGCTCCAGCCAAGAGAATTATCCAGACAGTATGGAAATAAACGTCTGTCAGAGTAAAATTGGAAGAAAAAGAAAACATTCATCACAGTTCAAGAACTTGTCTAGTGTCTCGGGGGATGTCTCCACAGTGCAGTGCCTGGCATTACAGCAGCCTGGGGCTGCTGCTGCTCAAACCTGCTCCAGAAGCAAGCAAGCGATCCAATACAGCAACACAGCTTCCAGCTCTGAGTGGTGCTGTGGTGTGTCACGTGCACCTCTCAGCTCACAGCAGCTAGGTCAAAGAGCTTTCTCAGGAAGCCTCTCTTGCCAGATGAGCCACAGCTTGGTAGATATTAGAAATTTAAATGGTTTGGTTCTTTGAAAACTGACTATACTGAGCAGAATCTGACCTAACCATTTTGGCACTGAATTAGTCCACAAGGATAACTGTGTACTGCTAACTGCAGTGTCTTTGTGCCCAAAATATGCTGTGTTAGTGTTACTGCTGACTTCTAATATCCCAGGAGTTCAAAATAAAAAACAGGCCTTGTTATGCCTCAATATAATTTCATTTAAGTTGCAGATGGATGAGACCCTTATTGCCATACTCAACCTCAAGCTGAGGGTCAGATACTCACCCTGGATTTTTCTGGACATGTATGTTTGGAATTCAGTACCTGCCTTTCATCTTCCTCTTAATCCCTACGAATTCTTTTTCCCTTACCTAGCTTCAACTTCAATGCTCCAATATTCCCTTGCCACCAGTTACAACTCTCCAGGACTCCCCTATCTCAGACACCCATCAGCCTAGCCAGCCCCAGCCAGATAACAACTAAGCTCTCTGTCATTTGGTCATTCTGCAGCCCTCTCTAATATTTACCACCTTGGACCTATCCCAGACCCACCCCAGCCTGCCTGTGACCGCTCCCCTGAACCACTTCTGCATTGGTTAAGGCTGGGTTCACTGATGTATATGGTTACATCTGAGTTAGGTAAATCATGTGCCTTTCTATAATGAGTTTCCTAAAATGACAAAAGACAAAACCACCAGTTGTAGTCACTGTTGATCAGGAAAAGATACCTGTTAATTAGCATTCACATTGGATCAAGCCATTAACAAATGCATTATGAAGCTACTATGGAAGATGATTCAAGTTATTATCTAGGTAACTGTGCTTCTGTTCCCAGCACAAGGCTGTCACATGAGCCCTTCTGATCACTTCTGTGTTCACATTTGTTGTGCATCTGTTCTAGCATCTCCAAGCCCTGATGTCTTGGAGGAACACATGCTGAGATACTTCCTGACTGGGGTGAGCTTCCAGTACTGGAAGCCTGTGGGTACAGCTCAAGATGCGAACCAAAAGCAGGCATAAAAACATGGTTAAAACAAAAGCCTGGCATTTGGAAGTCAGTTTTCTACTCTGGTATATGACAAAAATATCTGTCTAGATGACTCATATAATTAGAATTTTACCTCTCATTCTCCTGCTTTACTCAGCCCGTGCAAAGAAACAGGTTGGTCTGTTTAATCTGTCACGAAGTTTCCACTCGTGTTGGCATTACCCTATAATGTAATATAGGGTAATATAGTACTGTTCTATGACAGAAAGCTTCAGAGGACTGTGTATCCATTTCTGTTTTTCATAGTGCTCTCCCTGTAAAAGGTCACAGGAACATGTCCATAGAGCAGTCAGCAACAGATCCGTGGTGGCCATGAATGTAAGTTCCAGCATGTACTTCCTCCCTGCTTCCAGCCATCAGTGTCTGATGTCACTGGGACACTTCATACTTTCTGGCTATCACAACCTCCTACAGCAATGAATTTTACAAGTGGTATTGATTGCATTAAGTCGTACATGTGCTTCCCCTATTGCTTCATCAGAAGAAAGCGTTCCTGCTGCTGCACCATCACGGTGCATAGTATCAGCCTTGCAATTTAGTCTGCACGGGGAGTGCTGGATGGATTGTTTGATGCCTTGCATCTCCTAATCTCCTCGCCTAGTGAAATTGCTCAGCACCAGGGTTAATACTGAAGTGCAGGCCAGCTGAAGCTACCTTTAAAGGGCAGGGTATGCTCCAGAGTAAATATGGTTGACACAGGATTATATTTTACTTATCACTACACCTACTGTAAGCACAGCTTTTCTTTAATTGATTCTTAGGATTTGCTATAGGTGATATTGAAATATTTCTAACAACAGAATTTTCACAAGCAGCATTACCCATTCCACTCCTGTGGGGATTTCTCACCTTTGTGGTCCACAACTTGACTGTCCAGTCAAATGATGATGTGACAAAGAGATGGGAAAAGTCAATTGGACCCACTGCCATGTGACAGTTGATTCCTGTGACGGGTCCTTGGTGGCCTTCAAAAATTTCACCAATGCCAGCTTTACTGTAGGAAGAAGAAACATTTGCATTCAGTGAGTGATATAGCACCTGGTGATTTAACATCATTTTTCTTTACTCTTAGGTTCGTATTTCCCTTTAAAGTTCCACTTAATCTGTAAATCTCTCTCCTTTCAGTGAGGCCTTTGCCTGCAGAAGTTTACTCCTTTGGGCACAATTAATGATCAGAATCCAGCACAGGGAGACATTCTCTTACTTCTGAAGATTTGCCTTACTCACTTTTACATACACTGTCTACTACTGAGCTTGAAATAACATTTATGTATAATCATAAGTCTAAATTATAATTATGCTATCGTTTATGCCTGTGAGTAAGCCATTATCACTAGGAATAACCATTAAAATAAAAATGCAAATATGTTAATGACTTATGAGCAATTCTTTTTCTCTTACACATCTAAAATAACTTTCCACAGCAGCCGATCAAGTCACTAGGAAGCAAATCCTTTCTCACAAAAAGAGAAGGAACTGTTCCTGTGATCAGCTATCATAGAGTCATTACTTTGAACAAGGGGAGATGTGCATTTCATCAGCCTGAGGCTAGAATAGCTATTAGGAAGGAAAAATACAATGCTGTGTAAGAGAGAACGTGCAGTTTTCTTCTTCCTGGAAGCAAATGACGCCAGATCAGTTGTCAGTGCTGTCTCACAGCGTATACAGAAAGGGGAATCATGAAATTACCCTTCTAGTTACATTATGTAAAAATTGCCAGTGGAAGAAAATACATTAAGAATAGCCACAGCTCTGACAAGGCTTCCAGCCCTGTCCTAGTGTGAGTACAGCTTACCCAGGGAGATGAGGAGCTGCACTGGAGGAAATTGGTCCCTCGTATTGCTAGCGTGGTCCCTTCACCTCTCTTGTTGACCACCATCACAGTGTGGCCTCACTTAGGCTTCCCTGCAAGACCCTGTAGCTTGTGCTGGAGCAGGGACTAAGCTCTGCAGTGCCTCTGCAGTGCTGGGTACAAAGCACACCTCTTATTTTATCCCCACCTGTCTGCCATGTAGTTGGCGGGATAAGGGTAGTTCTGGAGCACTAAGGACACCTTGGATATCTGCTGTACTTTGACACACCTTTTTCCAGAATAACATATGGCTCCACCGTGCTGGGCTGAAAGACATGGGAGCCTCTGGAAATAAAACGGGGATGATAGCAAAAAGACAGGCAGGACAGGAAAGGAGTGCATTTTTTGAGGGTCAGCTGAAGGTTTGCTAAAAAGTTGTGCTAACAAGAGTATCTGGCAACTTCCTCATCTTGTGAGGAACAAATCAGGCATGTCTGAAAGATCAGAAGTGAGAAATGCCCTTGGGCATGCTTCATTTATGCTAGCAGCCTAAGACTAATTCAAACCATCAGTCGGCACATAGCCTGTAAGTATGCCTAAATAGACACAATTTTGCAATACTGTCGGTGGTCAGGCTAAAATAAAAATAGTTTAAAATAAAAATTATATGGAGCAAAATATATGTAAACCTATTTATACAATATTAGGAATGCGTAATAGAAGCCTTACAATCTTGGACCAGTTTATTGATGTCTATTTGGTCAACAGAAGCACAGAGTATGACAAAATATGAATTCAGAGAATACTGCAAACTATTGGTGGGGGTTGAGCTTTAAATCTATCAGTGAATAAAGTTTCTTTGCAAAAGCCTTTCAAGTATTGCAGAGGATGAAGCTACTACCAGAAACTACAGAGCACTCTAACATCCTGAAGATTTACAGGGTACAAAATAAGGAACTTGCAGTATTAAGCCTGGGTTATGCGAGGAAGGGATATGACCTCCACATGTGTGCGAGCACAGGGTACCAGTCCTGGCAGCCAGAGGTCAGTCAGAGCTTGTGTACCTGTGTGGCACACTGGAGCTACATCCCTGTTAGCAAATAAACCAGGCAGCGGCCCAGATTGAGGGCAAACTGTATGGCATGGCTCCTAGCTGTACAGCAAAACCCTCTTGCCCTCCTGGAGAGGGTGGGCATGTCCAAACTGCCCATTGTGACCAGGGGCTTAGCAGGACTCAATATCTAGCCTGGCTGCGCAGACACAGCCTACAGAGCTGCATGAGAATACCTGGCGCTGGATGGCCATGCAGTGGGACATGCATACTCTGTTACTCACATGCATGTGTGGCCATGGTGGCTTTTCTCTGATATATGCTTGTGGAGACTGAAAATGGAGCTAAGGACGGTAAAAAATAAAGCAGATTGCCATCTCTTATGAGCAATTTAGGCCTGATTACCCTGCAACAAAACTGCCTCCTAGGGGCTCATATGACCTGTCCAGGCATAGATACCTACATGTTCACTAGCTGTTTAGACCTCTATCTCACCTCATGGGCGAGAAAGAGACATTTTTGAGGTACCTGTCATTTCTTCTTCAGGCAGATGTCTGAAAAAGGTAAAGGAAAGCAAACCTAGGAGTAGCTGTTTCCCTCCACCAACTATGCAGGGAGCAGTAAAACAGGCTGTAGCACAGACGCTCAAAGTCAGGTGACTCCTGTCCTAGTCATGCGAAGTAGAACAGTACAGACACTGTTGATCCAAGAGAAAAAACATGAAACACTCTCCGTACACACTTGGCTACCTCATGCCAACACAGGTACACAACATCAAAGTACAAAATGCTGAACATCACCTTCCATGACGACAGGCTGTGTAGACTGTTCCCTCTTCACTGCCAACAACAAAGTTATTGACATCTCCGGTTGGGAAAGCCATTCCTGTGACCGCCACTGGTTTGGACTTATTGTAAACCAGCTCCATGCTCTCCTACCAAAACAGGTCTTTGTTATTATTCTGCAATTTTGTTATTATTCTGCAATTTTGTTATTATTCTGCAACCATCCTTTTGATTGGCTGTTTTTTTCCTGCCATCCTCACCACTGTCTGCCACACATTTGAGAGTGTCTGAAAGGCACTAGTCTTCGCTATATCATCTTAAATCAGGCAGAGATGACAGGTGAGAATTTAAAATCTAATGGTGCAGAAATTAAAGATAATACCTTAATGTTTACCCTTGCCAGCCCCAGGCTCTAATAAAACATACAATACCCTTCTATTTACAAACATTTCTGAAATCAATTGTCCGTTAAGAAACACACGTAGTACCCTGTGCACCTGAGGCATTTATCAGACTGTGCCATTTGTCCCTTTGCAGAACAAAATTGAAAAGTTGGGGTCCTCACTTCTACCTTTCTAAGCATTGCTTTTCAGGGATTTTCTGAGGTAACCGTAAACACTCCCTCTGGGCTCCACCATCAAGCTATCAACCAGCAAGGTTTTTATTTTCCTCATTTGGTAGCTACGTTTCAAAGTAAAGCAGCATGCCCATTTTTGCTATTGCAAGTACAACCAGCATGAACAGATTGTGGCCATTGCAAGATGCATATGCTTAGAGCAGATTTTGCACAACTTTTTGGTTGTTCCACCTAAAAGCTGTAATCCAAGAATCCATAAAGGGACTGAATGATTTAGCAATTTTCATTTTTAGCTGTTTAAGTGGCTATGTTTTCTGTGTTTAAAATCTCTAAGCTGCTGTTCTTCTAGGGCCAAAACCTGTAGCATTTTTCTCAGAAGGTCTTTTTGCTATAGCTAAGGAAAGCAGGCATCCCTGTGAGAGGAGATGGCTGCAAATCCATAGCGAAATACTTCTGCTTGGTTTACACTTTTCGTTGAAATACATTTGGTTCTACTAAAAAGAAGCAAAACCAGATCTGGTAAATGCATTGGCAGAGCACCTGCGGACCATATATTTCTGTGAAAAACTTGTGGGGTTAGATCATCATTTAGTGTGTCTGTGGAGACACGGCCAGATACTGTGGTGGACTCTCTCCTTCCAGCGCCTACACCATGGCTGTATGGCTGTACATGAGTGCTCTGGATCAGTGTCTTTGGAAAGTTTCAGACTGACACACATCAGCAACACTCTACTCCTCCCAGTTTAAAGCTACAGCTTGACATCAAATCCTGTGCCTTCATCGCCATGATCCATGCGCCAAACTTCAGTGTAATGTGGGGTGTGTTCCCATCCTTGTTGAAAGCCAGTTTGGAGCAGGGAAATTCCATCTGAATGATGAAGTACTGGAACCGAGATGTTCACAAATTTCTGCTTCAGAATTTAGTATTTCACTAAGTGAATACATAAGGGTGGGATTTATCTTCCTGATTTTTAACTGAGAAACTGGGGAAGGGATTCAGGTGCCTAAACATAGATGTCTGGGGCATTTTAGATGCCTTCACTTCTATTCCAGAAGAGCATTGGTTTCCATACTTTTGCCTTAGATGAACACAATCGAACTTTGAAATTGGCCTTAATTTGAATAGGAGAGTAGGCGGGATGAACTCTAGAAGCCCCTTCCATCCTAAGATTTGACAGTTCTTTACCCTTGGGTGGGTATCTGAAATGGTATTTTACAATGGGCTGGGAGAGCCGTCCTCCAGAAGCGCCCAGTCTCTCTACAGTAACTGTAAAGGGAACTAAAATTACTAGCATAGACTTGACAGGGACCTAGCTTCTAGATGGCTTCTAGATGGCTAAGCTCAGGATAGGGGAGTCCCACCTCTTGTGTAAACACTGAAAAGTAAATAATTCAATAGTAATTTTACATTAATGTATGATTTATGGATGATTAATGGAATTATGAAGAGGAGTTTCTATGCAGCAGTTTGAAATAAGATCAAATCCCAGGATGCTTAGGAAAAATTATATGATTTTCTTTTTTGCTAAGAAATTACATCTAAAAAATGAATGATGTGTTAGAATAGAAAATATACTACTCCAGAGGAAAACACTTAAAAGATGCTTTCAATTGGCCTTTTTCAGCATCAAATTCTTTGTTTAGTTTTCATTATCATAATCACTAGTGGTTTGGACAATTTTCCTGGGTTTCCTTTCATTTCTGATACAAAGCGGGGATTGGCGGGGTGTGGGGGGGAAGACAATGGTAGCAAACATTCCAGAGGGGGGAAATCAGTTCTAAAACTTTTGATTTACACTGTTTGTTCCTTTGGCTACTGAAGGCAGGCAGCAAAGTAAGCTTTCTGACTGTGTGCCTTGGAAACCCATAGTGCCTAGGGTGTGTTCAGCAACAGTGCAATCTAGTCCGTATTTGTTAAACAATGCTGTAGAGTAAGTACAATTTATACCACAGGCGACTTCTGTAATTACCATGATTTAAAATGGATTATTTCATTTTCACTTGAAACTGACCTATGTATTAACGTATTACAATAATTACATGATTTGTGGTAAAGGAAATGGGTTTTGGCTCTTAGCAGAGACTGCTGGAAGCAAGCTGTACTCTTTCAAGTGCATCCATCGGTTTTAGTTTGTATAGGATGTGAGGTTTTGGCTTTTAGGTTCCATTAAGCAGGTATCCTGCTTTACTGAGGGTGCTTTTTTTCCCTGCATAGGTGAAAACAAACCCACCTGTGGAGTTGAGAGCATGTCCAGGCTCCAGGAGCACATTTTGCCATCTGTAGAGACGGTAATGAGATTGTGCGCGTTCTGTGTTCCAACTACATTCACACAATACACAGGATGCTGAAAACACATTAACACTAGAAATCAGAGAGCCTGTCTCACATCGTCACAAACAGATTACTAATGTCATATGTTATTTTAAAAAATGATGAAGTAGTCACATAATGCCTGGAAAATACAGGAGTCCACTTTTGCCAGATAGGAATTGTTTTTTATTGTGCGGTTTTTTTTAGATTTAAATTTAAGAGGTACGTTATGGGGGTGGAAATGTTTTCAAAGTTTCATTTTCCTCATAATAAAATGACCCAGCTGAGTAATGCTGTGAAAATACTGAATTATGTGCATGAGATTTCACCCAAAGGGACATGTATCATTCTACTGATGGCTTTTGACACTGTGTCCTGGCAAAAAGAGGCAAATGGTCCAAATGGAATGAAAATGAAAATGAAAACTTTATTTCAGTGCGAGGTGTCCCTGCCCATGGCAGGGGGGTTGGAACTAGATGATCTTAAGGTCCTTTCCAACCCAAACCATTCTATGATTCAAGAAAACAGCTGCATAAAACTTGAACTTTTCCAGAATTTGGCTTGCATGCTTAACATTTGCAAATGTACTCCAGTTGAAAAACATGAACAAGTCCATCAGCATTTTCCAGCAGTGGCCAATATACCTTTTTACATCTGTCATTATAAATGTGCAGTGACTAAATTTAGGGTGTTACACTTGGTTCACCGTAGAATAGTCATTCCTTGGAGGCTGAATTTCAGTTCAAATGCAGCAATGAAACTTGGCCTATTCCTTTTCCAAGGAACCTGGTAATATTTGGAGCCTAAAGTGTCATCTGATATCTGATGGTGACATATGAGGGATGGTTCAAGTTCAGCAATCTCCAGAGTGAAAAATCGGTCAGACTGAACAATAAGATTTAATTTCTTTTGACCAGCACAAATGATCCTGCTGA